CCTAATCCCTCAACCCAAATCCCTACAGACCTGGCCGCCCTTCGAGTTCTTGGATTGAGCGGCGGTAGTCTGCGGAGAGCAAATGGGAGAATTGCTGTACCTTGGGGTTAGGGTTTCGGGTTTAAGGTTGATTACCATTAGGTAAGGTAACCTGGGCTTGAGGGTTTAGGGTTTCAGGGTTCAGGGTTTAAGGTTTATGGGGTTTAGGGTTTAGGGTAACCCAACACCCCCGCGTACTCCAAAACCAACAAATATTTCCCCCAGTATTTAACGGAATGATATTGGTGGTACCTGGCATTGGCAATAGCGGGGGTGGGGAAGTGAATTTATCATTAGGCGGAGGGGCCGCTGAAAACCAAAGAATGGACAGCACTGTACTGAACTTCCTTGTGGCAAGTGAATCATACTAAAGTGGCTAGATACTAAAAATGGGCTTGCGGTTGGCAACAATCAAGTTCCTGAACAACAACTCCGAAAGAGACGACTTACTTTGTCCCATCGACCCGATTCTCTAAACATGCTGCTTGACATGGTAGGGTCTAGGGCTTAGAAATAGATAGACCCCCAAATACTACACTCCTTATTATAGGGACCCCCCAGAAGTGTATCTCTAATTTTGGGAAACCCCGACATGTTGGCGCCAGTTGGAAGGGTCATAGGCTAGAGGTGTCGGCTAGCCACTCCAACTCTCAGATCATCCTATGCCCTACAGCTTAATTAATAAGGGGATTTCGGTAACCCCAACCCCCAAAATTAGGACCCTATAACCATCATATGATAGTTATAGGGTCCTAATTTTGGGGGTTGGGGTTACCAAAATCCAGTTATTATTAATTGTATGAATCAGAATATAAATCACAGGGGTCCTACATGGAGCAAACTATCCTCCATCCACCTCTTAGACCTAAACTCTTGACCCGAAACCCTATAGTCCCCCTTAAGTAGGTAGAATATGCGGTATGTGAGGATCTTATTATAATAGACCCAAAGCCATATTCTATCTCCTTAAGGGGGACTCTTTGGCCTAAAATTCTGAACCCCAACCACACACCCCGGCAATGACGAGATGCAAGCCATCGGCACCAGCGATCGCCTTTGCATGCTGCTGAGGCACGCTGCGGGATAGCTCCTGGTGGGTTCAGGGTCTGAGGGCTCGGTTTAGGGTCTAGGGTTTAGGGTTTANGCTTTAGGGTTCAGGGTTTAGGGTTTAGGGTTTAGGGTCTAGGGTTTAGGGTTTAGGGTCTAGGGTCTAGGGTTTGCTTATTTACAGGGTCGAGGGTGGCTCAGTGTGTGTTTAGGGTTTAGGGTTTAGGGTTCAGGCAGGAATTCGTCGACAATCATGACAAGCTGGTGCTAATATGATCGAAGGAATTTCAAGTGACCGACGGGTACTTTAGAGGCTTCTCTCCGACTTCTCTTTGCACTTCAACATTTGTGGCTGGAAGGAGTTCAGGTAGCGATTTCGGTACCCTGTCACAAACTAATGTGTAAACTCCATATGAGCTACGGTCAATATTTCCCAAATAAATCATGACATGGAATCCTTATTAACGACTGTATGAGGTACAATACTAAACTACAAGAGACACCCCTCTGTCCGCTGCTAAGGGTCCCTTGGCAAGACTAAAAATGACAGTAGCTCATACATATCCCTTTGAACCCCTAAACAATCCAAATTTCCATTTCATTTCCCATGTTCTTTTCCATTTGATTGAGCGGCGCTCAACTCAACATGTCCATTTGAGTCTGTTCTTGGTAACCCTATTATATCCTCTTTAAAGGACATAGGGACTCATATGGGCCCCTTATAAATAGACAGACATCTTTCAAGTGCGTCTCTTGCGGCGCCAGGTGACGTTGAGGGAAGAAGGCTGCTGAATGGTATGGAAGCCCCGGCCCCTTTTGCGGCTCTACCCAGGTTGATATGAGCTATCCTAGGAATAATGCCTCCTATATTGGTCTCGAAGAAAGTCCCCTATATAACCCCCTTCAAAAGGAGTTTCGACTATAGTTCATACGCTAACATTTGTTTGAGCAACCCATTGCAATTCCGCAGCTCTGGGTACAAACCGCTTGCTGATCTCTTTTCCCACTGGGCAGCGCCTGTACATGTGCGAGCGCAAGCGAGACTCTGCTCTCTTTCCCTAAGGGTCCATCTACCCACAGACTGGACGTATGATAAAACCCTAAAGCTTAAACACAGTCGTAATTGGCACCTAGAGACAAACAGCATTTGGGCACTTGGACCTTTAGATCTCTGCCTCGGGGCATACATCCCCAGATCCTCACGTAGGCAAGTTTAATCCGAAATTCCTCCATAACACGGTGATTCTTAGGCAGGAATGAGGGAATATAACCCTACATAAGTCGTAAATAATTTATTCCCCTATTCCGTACGAAGAACCAGGCAGTAACACGGTGTTCCTAAACACAACGGTTCAGGCAAGCTAGGGTGGCTTCACTTGCTACACCATCCCCAGGACAACGCTGTAGATACCATCATATAGGGGGTTCCCAAAATTCGGGGTACGATTTTGGGGGTCCCCATAATAAGGACTATAGTATTTTGGGGTCTATATTGGGGTCCCTTAATTTTGGGAAACTACCATATCAACGCAGTGGCCTGCCTGAAGAAGAAAAAACAGATATGCTTACAAGAAGGAAGTCTTTCATATCCCGACCCAAAAGAGGAAACCCTGTAACTCTGCATTCAGAATACTGCAAAGGCATGAGTAATTACCAATGTTATCTTATTAGATTCCTTGTACAGTTATGATATAGGCTAACCCAAACAAAACTCAACATTACATTGGTTCCTATCAAGACCCTACAGTCCTATAACCCCGATATAAGCCTAGTCTGCATGTAATTGTCCATGATCTTTTCCATTTCATTCTCCATTGTTGGGGTACTGAACCATCCTAAACCCTCAACCCAAATCCTTTTCGAGTTTAGCTCCCTAAACCCTAAACCCTAACCCCGTAACAGAAAACCAAACACCATCCGAGGTTTAGCTTGATGAGTTCAAACTCGAGCTGTCGCGGCTTCAAATGAGGGTTTCCAAAATTGACGAAGTTTAGGGTTTAGGGTGTTTTTCTTAGTGGGGTTCGTGGGGATCACATAGGGATAGTATTCCCCTATTCCTACTCAGCACTAATAAGTCTTTGTGGGAAAACCTGCGAGAAGATTGTATATGTATGTGCGTATAGACACCTACGTACCGGTACATAGATTAGAAAGATAGATGTGTAGGCAGATATGGGAAAGCGATAGATCTTGGCTTCCTAGCCTTCAGAAGTTACCCTCATCACCGATATGATCATTACGGAAGTGGACATAGTCGTGCATGACGCCATTTAATTCAATGGGGGAGATTATGCGTGCATAGTGTGTTTAGGGTCCTGCAGGTTTTTGTCCATCAACAACATGTACACCATAGGAATTCCAGTACGATCGCCTTCCGGGTATCATGGAAGTACTGTTTTGTGCACCTTCCATTCGTGATAATCCGAGCCCCTATCTGTATTCTCTTGCGAATCTTACCACAAGGTTGTGTCAAATCTGCTTTTGGCCTTGCGAGGCACATGAGGGATCGCAGCACAGGAGCTTAAACCCTAAACTAGTCTAGCAGTCAGACCAATCCCTTTCAAGGAGGTTGACCACGCGGTTGTTGAAGTCGTAAGGGTCCTCTTGCATGGTGGTCTAGCAAAGAATTAGGGAAGGGTTGCTGTGGGATTGTTTTGAGTGACACTTCCCCCAGAAATCCCGCAGGCTTCTGGCTTCTACAATATGTCGACTAATTAGGCTTGCAGTAGTTTTGGAACTCATCAATCAGCAGTCCCCCACTCGGAACTCCTACAGCGGGAACTGCTTACATTCTGGAAGCCCAAGGAGGACCCACGATACACGAATGGGAAAGAGTCATGGGGCCTTTAGTTTTGGAACTCTATGCTCCTGGCCGGGCGCCTATCCGGTGTAGCTCCTCTAAACTATGAGGCCCTGAACTACAATCCTAAAGGAAGCAAAGTAGCTGCAAATAAGGCTTCGCACCTAAAATTGTGGTGCCCTCACATTCTTTAGGTATACAGCTTTTTATTGCGGGTAAACTTCAGACCCACGCCCTTCACCCCCGACCGCGCCTCCTGTCCAAGTCGCAACATCCCCATGAGCTTTAGTTCCACTCGAGGGGTTCTGATTCTGTGAACACAAAAATCTCGCAGGCCCATCGTCTTTTAAAGGTTTAAGGAGTAGCCACTTACCTCTAGAAAGTAAGAACCCATTCCCCCAAGCACAACATGCAAATACTGGATCCAGCTAACATCGGCTCCAGAACGGGGGTTGGGAGCTTTCCTACTACCCTGCTAGATGTTAGCAAGCAGTTCGGCTACGGGCCAAAACCTAACTACTGAGGCATCGCAAATTTCCCCCAAAAAAGCACGCCACGCGTGTGACAGTGTGACATGTATTCTCATCCTTGTAGCATGATAGGCGCCTATGAAGACTTCTGTCCTTGTAGGAGTTTCATGTCAGTCCAAGCAAGTCTGAAGTGCCTTGTTTCTTGACTTATTCAGTTTGACAGAATGCATGCCCCAGACAACACAGAAGTACGCCAGTGCATCAGCAATGTTAGCCTAATCCGAACAAGGTAATGAAGGATTTTGGGCAACCCGGCCACCATCCCGAACTCCAAGCAACCCACATCCACTATGTTCCCCAGGAACCCCTTAGTAGTAAGGGTGCCATTTTTTGCTTCATGTTCAGCTTTAATAAGGGGGACCCCAAAATGAAAAGGGACAAAGGATACTACCTGGGTACCTCCCTAAAGCCTCAACCCTAAACCCTAGAACCTAAGCCCTTTTACCTAGCCCACAAGTGGAATGTCCATCTCATCCTTTCGAGGGATGCTCCTCAGACAAAGCCATTTGATTTGACCAGGTTCCTACCTCTCTTGTTGGGGCTACTGAGGGTTAGAGGGAATAAAGATATACATCATATAGGGTTGTATGGGGATTTCATTTGCCTAATGCCGTACTTTTTTGTATTTTCTTGTTGTATTTCCGAAACTTCTGATGACTTAAGAAGTGCCCCAAACAAGGAAGTGTGTGAAGAGAGGCCACGCAAACTCCGAAGACATATACATATTTCTTGTAGCTGCTTTCTGCAGCTTCTCACACGCAAAAACTCATCACGCTGCCTAGGTGTATGGCCGTGGCTTCTGCTTAGGGTTGGCTTACAAACTCTAATGGATGGTTTGGGTACTGCACCCACCCAGTAACAGCTGCATACGCAGCTGCATAATACATTTTTTACGAATACATAGAGCCCTTTTTATGATCCCTACTACAGACTGTTACTGGGTGGGGCCCTTCATAGTAGTCCACGAGATCATTCCTCATATTAAAACCCCCTTTACGGAGTTTAGATTATGGCACACATGACACAACTACAAGCTAGCTAGTGCTTAACCATCCGCAGGTCAACACATCAGCATATGGATCGTTGGCTGAACAGGTGTTTCTTTGCGTGTCAGCTTCTGCAGGCGAAGGCCCTGTAGTTTCTCGACATTGCTGCGCATTCTGGAGGACCCAATCACAAGGGCTCTTGAAATAGCTGGAGGTATTCATAACAGTGACGGCGGCTTGGAGAAACGCCCGCACGGAAATCAAGTTCACTATTCGAGAGATGCCTGTCCAACTTGTTGCACGAGCACACGATATGCTCAAACACGCGAGCTTTTGAACATTTCAGAGAATATGTGCGCTTGTTCGTTCACGGCTACAAAACCAAGGGAACAAGATTTCTAAATTGTAGCGGCACCAGTCTGTCGCTAGACCACCCTGCCGGTTTGCGCATACAAAAACTCAAATCAAGCTACAATATCTAAACAAAGGCATAAATCCTCACTTATGACCTGAGTCCTGGCTCTAGCATTGGCATCGCCCCAGTGCTTGAGTAGAAATATTTGTGCGGAAGTTGCTTGCAGCGCAAAACACCGACGAAGATGAAAGCATCTCAACATTTTCAAGATGTCTGCCCGGATTTGCTAGACTATGCTAGGACTTGCTGGGCCGACTTTAAAAGTTTAAAGTAGTGTGAAGCGAAGATGCCTCTGCCACACCTCCAAAACATTCCGGTGATGATCCCAAAACAAGATTCACAAGTTGAGAGCTTGCGCTGGCTTGTCAAGCGCTTTGTTATTTAGCTTCTGCCTTGGGGAAGAATTGGGGTTGGTTGAGAAACAGCAGGCCAGGCCCTTTGCAAAACGTCTGACGAACATGAACTTGTCTGGCATTTGAGTTAAAATCCCGGTCCGAATTCGCTAGATTCTGCTGGGATTGCCACACATACGCTTGCCTATAATGAGCCATCGAGGGGTTTGGGGATGAAGGGACATCACCTTGCTGAACTCTGAACACAGGCCTTGGATTCCTTAGATCATTTTAAATCCTAAGCCTTTGCCTTCAAAGCCTGAACACCTGGTAATTACCTGAACCACAACAGTATGTAGAATAATGGCCTTTTGGGATATGATTGGGTGCTTTAGGCTATTACTTTACCTACTTTTGGGGTTCAGGTAAGCCCCACAGAACGCAGCCAAGTAATTAAGCCCCAAAAACCTTAAACTTTAGTGAGAAACCCACCGTTTTGAGCCGCGACACAGGGCGGCCGTGAGCCACCCAAGGCAGAGGACCGCGGCCCCAGCACATCCCAGGGCAATTTTCAGGCCTAGGCCTGCGCTTACTGGATCTTAATAGGGCATACCTTGGGTCCTGCCCCCACCCATTAACAGTCTATAATAGGGGTCATATTAAAGGCTATATATAATCATATTACGAATATTATCCAACTGTTAATGAGTGGGGGCAGTAACCAGGGCATACGGGTAGGGTACAGGGTTTAGGGTTAAGGGTTTAGGGTAATGCATGCTGAAGGCTAATGGCCTGCGTGGATCTTCCCGGTTTCGTGATATTCCGGGATAAACAGGACTATTTAAGGTTAAAGGAGAACCTACATTATAAGGGATACCGACCTCCCTAAGAAAACCGCCCTTAACCCGCTATCAGCTATGCAATCCATGCCGCACCCGAAGCCCTCATCGCGACCCATTCGAACCACATACCTCTACAGTATATGCGCAGAACCAAAGTACTCACATAGACCCTTTCAAGCCCCAGGAAAATCCTGTGTACCGCAAGGGCCAAGAGACTCCAATTCTGGGTAGTTAGTTGTTTTTCATTTCCAACTGGCCCACAGTTTCGGGGCAGGTTTGCTTTCCAAGTAAGTGACGTGCCTGGACCCTTCGGGAGCCAACCCTACGACAAGGAGCCTGGAATGAAGATGCATCCGCAGACGACGAGGGCTCCAGCGCCACCTTTTGGAACGTGGGGGCACCCCCGGCCCTCATACCCTAATTGGAAGCGCATGGGCACTTATAACCTTGTACCTATACCCCCCTAAACCCTAAGCCCAAACCCTAAACCATATATACCCTCAACTACCTATACTTGCATGTGTAGTCCTCTTGTTACCATGCTCGAGGGCTGTCGTGATAACTGCAATTTCAAGCACACATGGACCTCTAAGGATGCCTGGAACTATATAGAGGGATTATAGGGTATATATTGGGGTTATATTTGGGATAATGGAAAATAGAAGGGAAACTACAGGGATTACAAGGAGTTATGAGTTTTCAGATACTTGAGGCAATCTGGCACCACTAGGGCGGCCCAAAATCATGCAAATTCTATGGGGTAGAAAGTCCGCAAGGTGATTTAGTAACCAAAGATTCCCCAAAGAAACCCTAAACCCTAAACCCTCTACCTATCACATGAAGTCCCTTCTTGGGTTCCTAACAAGGATCCTAGCCCAAGAAACCATGCCATTCCCCAGAAGAGAACTACTACAGGGGCCTAAATAACTACCAATATCATTTTGAGGTCCATTTGAGCTACCATAGACCATAATCATATAAGGAATATGGAACCATAATGTTGGTATTTATTTAGGCTCCTATATTACTAGGGTTGAGGACTGAGGCTCTAGTCCAAAGTTCCTGAATCTTAACCCCAGGCTTGGGGTTTAGGATTTCGAGTCTAGGGTTTGGGGTTTAGAGGTTTAGTGTTTGGGGTTTAGGGGTTCATGGTTTGGGGTTTAGGGGTTTCGGGTTTGGGGTTTAGGGGTTTAGGGTTTGGGGTTTAGGATTCAGGGTGTGTTGTGGGTGTCTCTCAGTGCGAAAGCCTTCTACGAAAGATCTGCATCCGCTTAAGGATCCAAATAGCCCAATGTAGGTAGTCCTTGTAGACTTTAAGGTCCCATGTAGGTATTGCTTGTATACTCGGAACTCTAGGACCCCTTCTAGGGCTACTGCAGTGCCACTCGCTAGGGCCATGCCATACGCCTCAAGAAAATCCTCCAGAGAATCTACAGGAGTTTACCCAATTCTTTCAGCCCAGAGACAGCCAATGGACCTGGAAACATGTCCTAAATCTTTCGCATATGACTCAGCATGCTTTTGGCAAGTGCTTCGAAATCATAAGCCAGAAGCAACCCCGAAGGCCGATTCTTCGGGAGAGGGGACCCTGCATCACCAACATTCTTGCTGGGGGGTTAGTAGGGAATTAAAGGTCATTGGGGATTATATTCCTACTAAGCACCAGAAAGTCTTGCATCTTGTTAGTAAGGGAGGACAAGAAGATATGTGAAACCAGACCTAGTGATGCCGTCGTCCGCGCTAGCCATGGGTAGAATTCGCGGTCGCGCCAGCCGGCATGGCGCTTGAACATCTGTTTGGCCATGGCGCAGTACAAGGGAGTGTGCGCTATAGCACACCTCAGGGCTGTGAGTAGCTTCGGATAGCCTAGAGCTGCGCATGTAATTTATGGCTATGGAAGGCCTGGAGTAATTGCTTAAAGTAGTTCATCCAAGCATGGTCCTGCATTTGCACTGGTACCCATACGGCGGTAGCCCAATACATACTCACCTCCCACTAGCAAATGACAATTTGGCCCTGTACAGTGCCATCACATATATATATATATATAACTATTAGGGGTAATATTCGTTGTTGGGGATGGCGGGGTCATTCTTAGGAGGAAAAGATTAAACATGGTAGTTTCCCTATATATGGGGTCAATATGGCCCTTTAACCTGAAAATCCTTAATATGGGGACCCCCCCAAAAAGGCGACAACTAATTGTTGGAAACCCCAACATGCGCTTGTTTGCTCTTCCGCTCAATGGTCTGACTGCTGCTTGGCAGCGGCATAGCATGACGCACTTTCTTGGAGGTCTCTCAAGAATGGGGCACCCTAGGAATGGGGGCAAAAAGGGATGATCGGGGTCCCAGGACAGGATTCTATAGTCATGGTTTAGTAGCTTAGTCTAACCAGGATAGCTGCAGTTTATTGGCTGACAATGAGGGCCGGTGTGGGCGAACACTTGGCCACCAATGCCATATGCATGAATGAAGATCCTAGTTTCCATATCATTTTCCATTTTGTGCATTTGATTTTCCATTATTGGGGTGTGTAACCAATACATTGCAGAAGGAGTCTGTGCTTAAGAGAAATCCCAGTGGCTCCGATGATACAAGACTCCTGGGTTGTTGTTGAGGAACTTAAATTGAGTTACCATAATGGCTATATATATATAATAGGGTTCCCCTAAAATAGTAACTTAAATTAAGTTCCTTTTCAGCAACGCAGACTCGAATGACGGACAGCAAGGACACCACATGGACACGGCAGCTTGCCGCTCGTGTGGATGAAATCTAGGCTTTGCTTGACACAGACGTAGTCTGTGCTCTTGATCTGGAGGTCACTAGCAGGAATGCAAACTCTGCGAAATGCTTGGTTCTACCCTCCAGGAGCATAGGCTGCGGCTGCGTATTCATGCCACTGCAGAAATAGGGGGGGGCTCTGTGTTCTCCAAATACTATAACCTTGTTGCTGGGACCCATAAAATCCCACCAAAAGGGATCTTAGGGACCCTAATGGGTTTAGGGTTTAGGGGCAACCCTCATACACACACAGTTTCCACTTCAGGTTCCTTAGTCCTTTGTTTTGTTTTCCATGGGGGGTACTATCCCTAAACCCAGCAGCTTCCATTTTCTGATTCCGTTATTTAGGGCCCTAATACGATATATGTCCCATTTTTGAGAAAGCCCATATGACTTGCTTTTTTGGTGGTTGCACCTAGTAAGATTATATTCCGAATGCAAAAATTCTATATCAGAAAAGGGCATATCATCTAACTCTATATTGGTACTCTTCTGGCACTTGCTAGCTCACATGATCAGCGCTGCAACTGACAAAGGATTTGGGTTCACACAATCCTGTGGCATTCCATCCCGGTGGTCCTTGTGCAAAGCATTGTGCAGGAGTAGGAGCATTTGCAACCTGAGGCGTTTGGCTTCCTTGGGCTTAAGGACAATTGAGACTAGGGATAAGTAACCGCTAAAACCCTAAACCCCTAAACCCTAAAACCCCTAAACCCTAAACCCTAAACCCTACACCCCTAAACCCTAAACCCCTAAACCCTAAGCCCTAAAGTCAAGGACCCTGAGGTGGCTTGTAGGGTTGGTATACAGGGACTCCCTTAACACAGAAAGTAGGTCAATCACGGGATAAGGAAGGTTGTTATGCAACCTATGGGAAGTTGCCGCTCTTAGTTTCTAGAATCTTGGCAAGAGCTTGTCCTTTGAAATCCTGCAGGGCAAGAGCCTGAAGAATTAGACTGTAGGGTTTAAGGCTTTCTCTCCTCGCCACCTAAGTCCTGAATCCTACACCACTTATCATTCTTACAGAACCATAGTACAACATACACCAAAGGGCTATTCCCAGTTGCTTGCACCCCAAAGTACTGAGTGCTGATAGTAATGCTAGCGTTTGAAGGCCTGATACGTTTGTTCCGCAACCCTTCGGAGTGAAAAAACTCTCTAACTTGAAAAAACCCAAGAACTGAAACCTCCAACGCAAACTCTACAGCCCGTAAAACATGCGCCCGAAGTCCGTAGAATGCCAAAAACTGACACGAACGTTTGAAGGGTCCCAAGAGACTAATTACTGTGTATGAAACAGGCGCGATATGGGAGGTTGTCACACTTGTTGCCCCGCTTTGGGTAGTATACTACGGCCCCTAGAATTTGGGGTAACCGCAAGTGAACCCATAGCGCTGCAAACCCCTTATGTTTGTTTTCATGTTACCTTGGTGGAAGGCAAACTATAAGCCACTCCCTAAACGTGTAAAACCCTAAGCCCCTAACCTACTAAACCCTAAACCCCCGGGAGTCTAGACCACCCTCAGCCACCGGAACTCCCTAAAGCTCCCAAAAACTTTGAAACCGTAAGTAAAACCTGGACCTCAAGCCCCGACACCTAAGCCCCTAAACCCCTAAACCCCTAACACCCCGAGAATCCAGTATTTTTAAGCCGTTGAACCCAAGCCCCTAAACCCATAACACCCCTAAACTCCAAAACCGTTTAAAGCCATATATATATATATATACATATGTATGTATATATATATATACACACATATGTATATATATAGGCCCAGTTACCATTTCATGTTCCATGTTCTTTTCCATTAGATTCTCCATTACTGGGGGGTATTACCCAGATACCCAAACCCATTTTAATAGCTTCCATTTTCTTTTCCAGCTATCCCTAAACCCTCAACCCTCAATCCCTATATACCCTAAACTCTAAACCCATCACAGTAGCTTCC